TTGATTTATGTGATATGCCTATTTGTATGCTTTCAAAGGAGGAAAAGGACTAATGATTTTCATCGATGCTGTGTCTTTATCTGGTGATTTGAAGCCCTCGGTTAACTTTCTTCGTCCGAACAGACGAACACATCCTTAAACTACCTGTAATGATTGGGCTTCGCATACGAGGGCAACAGAATGCACTCAAATTCACAAACTACGTGCACGGCTGTCGTCTTGTTTCATCCTAATGCGCTGTGCTGACTAATGTATACGTTTCTACCTCTTTTCCGCATCAACTTTTTGCGAAAACCGTGAAGATCAGGCGGAAGTGCCATTCAACATTACGGGTAGTAAATGCTAGCTCCGACGGTACAGTCGAACCTCGATTATCCGGACTCGGTGGGACTAGGGTAAATATTCCGGATAATCGAGAGTCCGGAAAATCGAAAATATGAATATTAATGAGACAATTGAGTTATGATCGTCTCGTGTGTTTACATAACCCACGCTCATCGAACTGATCAAGCATGACATTCCCTTAGCCACAAAACAATGCTGAACCAATCAAAATTCAGCTGAAAGCATTAGAATGCTTCTTGTCTCTTTTTGTCTCCGAGCGCTCGATCTTTCGAAAGCGGAGCGTGTAATGCGCTGTTTTACACAAAATTTTCCTGACTTTTAACATAATTTCTGAATTTTTTTACCTCCTAAAGTTTTTAAACTCTAAGGTCAATATTCATGAAAAAAACGGGACCAGAGAAAAAGTCCGGATAATCGAAAAGTCCGGATAATCGATGTCCGGATAATCGAGGTTCGACTGTATTGGATAACTTAATGTTGGCGGCTTCTATCCACTGAATCTTTGTTTATTCACCCTATCAGGTCAAGGCTTAAGATCTTTAGTTAAACGTGTCTAGGATATCGCTGGATAATATTTTCGTCCGCACAGCTGATATGCATATGACTGGGAGGTTAAATTCTATGAACGAAGTTTCCAGAACTGGTCATGCTTTTCGTGAACACAGCGATTAGAATAAACGAACTAGTTCCAATTCGAAGGAGTTTAATACTTTGCTTCGCATACATAAAAATTTTTGCTCTTTGTCCCTTGCGTAGATGCTGGGTTGACTTACATTGTGAGCATACTCTACTGCTTCGTCCGGTTTGTAATTTCATTTCTGTGAAAATTCATGTTTTGTGTGCGCAATTGTCAACTGACTTCCTTTAGGCTCTTTCCTCGACCTTTTGATAATCAGAAGGATTGATGTTTGGAATGAATATATTGTCGATGTAAAGTACGAGCAAACTGGTTTTTAATTACCCGTTGACATGCTCAAATTTTTAGATACTTTGATTGTTTCACGGACGCTCTGGCTCGTAGGTGAACCATCTATAAATACATAAGTTTACACGAAAACTACTTTTGAGGGATCAGCACTTAGAACAAGCGACTATTGAAAGAAAACAAAACACTGCATCAGCGTTGAAATTTTTTTTTACACCTCCGTGCTTTTAGTAAAATCAAATGACTCAGTTCTGCTGTCTGGCACTGACTACTTGCAGTGATTGGGACTAATTTTACCGCCGCTGTTGCTTCACATACGAGGGCAACAGAATGCACTCAAATTCATAACCTACGTGCACGGCTGTCGTCCTGTTTTCTCAGGCCTCTTTATCGTTTCCGCTTCCGTTTCATCCAAATGCGCAATGACAAATGTACACGTTTCTACTTCTTTTCCGCATCAACTTTCTGCGAAAACCGTAAAGAT